TCACGTTTAGGGGGAAAGTATCAGCTAAAAGTATAGAAGTAAACGAAAAAAAAGCAGAATTCCTTTGATTTTTTTTTGTGAGAAATGTTAGCTTTTGAAATTCTTATTGTTCATTGTAGAGTACATTGTACGCAACCATTTTCAAGATATTTCAGATCAGTTTGAGATAAGCAATTTCAGCTGAAAAATTTTGCCGCTAGATCTTACCGAAGTCATAAGTAAGCAGAGAGAAAAAAAATGGAGTCATTTTATTTTTTATTATTTAGAAAGTTAAGAGATAGAATTTTATGACATTTCTATTTTTCATGCTAGAGTGCATTGTGCACAATCATTTTCAACATGACTGACTACACTCCTGCTGTAATTGTTGACATGCTGTTTTGGGAGATTGTCACGGTAATCATGTCGCAGCTGAAGTTCTCTATGCACAGAGATACCCGGCTAGACGACATGCAAATGCCAATACCATTAGGACTCTGAAAAGACGAGCACAAAATGGTAATTTGCGCCACCAACAACAGTACCCTAAGTACGGTGAAAATGACGTTCGTGTTTTGGTAATACTGGCACACGTTCACATGAATCCTCACATAAGCTCGCGTCAGATAATCAGAGAAATTGTTATTCCCCAATCAACCGTTATCAGGATTTTACAAGTCATGAAATATCACCCATATCATATTACACTCACTCAAGCTTTAACTCCAGATGATACGGTACAACGTATTCGTTTTTGTCATTGGACCATACAAATGATTGAGTTGGATCTAAACTTTTTTCTTTTTTCAATTTGTCCTTTTTTTCTAATGAAGTAACGTTTAGAAGTAATGGAAGACTAAATTGGCATAACTGCCATTATTCGTCAGATGAAAACCCTCACTGGTTTCGACCAATTGATCATCAGCATCGCTAGAGTAACAATGTCTGGTATGGCATTGTGAATAATCATTTGATTGGACCTTACTTCTTTAATGACAACGTAAATGGATAGAATTTCTTGTAATTTCTCCAAAATCATTTGCCTGCGTTACTGGAAAATGTAGATCTAGTCACTAGACGAGAATATGGATACAACTAGATGGAGTACCACCATACTTTGCAGGCATAGTGCGCAATTTTCTCGATAACGAATATCCTCAGAGATTGATTGGACGTGGCGGGCCAGTTACATGGCCAGCTCGTTCGCCCGATATGACATCACGTGATTTCTATTTGTGGGGATATGTAAAAGACGTAGTTTATTAAGTAGAACTAACTACAAGGGAACATATGATAGAGCGAATCCGAGAAACGTGTTCTACCATACCAAGAAATGTTATACTGAGCACAGTCAGACAATTCCAAAGAAGACTTTATTTGTGTATTCAAGCTAATGGAGGAAATTTTGAACACTTGTTAAATAGTTGAATACACACAGCATACTATACACACAGACACACATGCACACATGACCTTCGCGCATATACACACATACACGCATACACATTCCCAAGGGGGTTGCTGGACCCCTACTGGGCGCCTCCCCAGGTGGTGGATAGGGGACAGCCCTCTAGATATAGAAGGTACTGGAAAAATCAAATATCCAGGGCGAACCAAAACCAGATAGGGGATGTTAACCCCGATAAAAAAACTCGAAAATGGGAGATCAAGCCACGGAAAAGAATACCCATGGAGGTAATCCGCTCAACGGAGGTCCTCCCAGTGGTTCCGATCGGGGTAGTAATCAAGACCCGATGGCCACTGCAGGCCTCCATACTGGATATGGGGGAGGCCAATCGACCATTAAGGGCACTGGGGGTAATAGTTCGGGCCTCCAGTCGCCGTCAAATGGCTACCAGAACTATATCGACGCCGCGGCACACTTGGCTGCGTCGGTATCAAGTGCTACAAGTGACAAGGGTAGGGACGGGGATGCTGGAACCCCAAAAAATACCCTAGCAAAGAGTCGTCATGAGAACATGGAGGTAGATGACCCCATGGATGAACAGAGGAGAGAAAGCGAAGTTAAGAGACAAGCGCACCTAGACTGTCTGGGTGAAAAGATCGAAGATCTGCATGACTTCGTCAAAGAAAGGAATAATGTCCACAAGGTCATCAAGGACAAAGTGAGGAGCATAAAAATACTGTACAAGACGCTGTGCACAGCTGATGACAACGTACTGCAATTTCCGAGAGCAGGGACAGCGGGCAAGGAGACCCAGACATCCCCAAGCCTAATACCCAGCAACGGTGGTGGAGGAAGTAGCCAACAACCAACCCCGGTAGAAGGTCGGCTAACAAAGAACCCATCAACAGTGAAGAAAACCCTGAAGGTTCCAAAAACAGCAAGAGAGCCGAATCAACAACACCGAGAAAAGCCTACGCAGGCACAAGAGAAAACCGCCTGGAAACAGGTTACAGAGAAGAAATCCAAAGCTAAGGAAAGGATGCTTAACCAGGAAGAATAGAGGAGAAAGGACCCACCCAAACATCGGAAGAAGAAACCGCTTTCAAAGGCTCTCCTTATCAGTGCCGGCGAAAACAAATCTTACGCTGACATTTTGAAGAAGGTCAAAAACGGCCTAAACGAAGACAAGCTGCAAGACACCATTGACAAAGTTAGAAGAACAACCAACAACCAGCTCCTTCTGGTCATGAATAGACGAGACGGTGACAAGATGGTAGCCCTCCAAAACAAGGTGGCCGGCTTACTCGGCGCAGAGGCGGTGGTAACCGGAAAGTCTCACGAGGTTGAACTCTCAATCAGAGAGCTCGAAGAGACGACCACGAAAGAGGATATTAGAGAAGCGCTCCAGACGGCAGCGGGCGATGAATTCACGGTAACGGAAAATGCCATACGAGGCCTGCGGCCGCTATACAAGGGCACTTAAGCTGCCTCGATCAAACTACCAGACGAGGTGGCCAAAAAAGTCATGGGTGAACGAAGCAAAATAAGAGTCGGCTTAGTTAACTGCCCTATCAGGGAAGTAATAAGACCAAAAAAGTGTTTTAAGTGTTGGAACTCGGGGCACATTGCTGGTGAATGTCAGAGCCAAATCGACAAATCAAAACTCTGTCTCAAATGTGGACTGAAAGGACACAAAATGGACACACTGGAAAGACAATAGGAAGCGAAAATGAGAATTATACAGCACAATATGAACCACTGTGAGGCGACGCACGACCTCCTGACCCAAGCAGTCAGGGATATAGGAATAGACTTGGCTATAATCGCCGACCCATATAGAAAACCTAACTCGGAGGCCTGGATTATCGACGCCACAGGCAAGGCTGCTATATGGTCCTGCAGAAACCGAACATTTGAAGACCACGCAGACGACACGCACAAAGGATTCGTCAGGGCTAGGCTTGGAAACGTGCATTTCTACAGCGTGTATGCTCCTCCCAGCCTCAACATTGGCGAATTCACAGAATTGCTTGACAGACTCGTCAAGGATGTGAAGGAGCACTCTCCCACAGTTATCGCGGGAGATTTCAACTCCTGGGCAACCGAATGCGACAGCAAGAAAACAGATCCGAGAGGAAATGAGCTACTGTTAGCAATGTCCTGCATAGACATGGTCCTACTGAACACCGGAACGTTTGAGACAGACAACGGCAGCTCGATCGTTGACCTAACCTGGGTGAGCTCCAACCTAGCAAAAGGAGGGAACGAATGGACAATGCATGACATCTTTAACTTGAGCGATCATCGGCTCATAAGCTGGACGGTCATAGCTGGCAGAGACAAAATGGGATGTCCAAGCAGAAGGACACATATAAGAGGGTGGAACGCCGACAAGTTTGACGCCAAGCTATTTGAAGTAGCACTAGATATCAGACCTGTTAAAGCCAGCTGTGCACATGAAGAAGCGGAAGAAGTGATTCGCAGAGTTGTATCAGCATGCAACGCTACGATGAAACGAAAGCAGCCCAATAATAATAACCACCCACCCATGTACTGGTGGAATGACGAGGTGGCCACAAGACGACAGGACAGCATCCGAGCAAGAAGAAAAGCCACGCGAGCCAGAAAGAATCCAAAATACAGACCTCAAAGAAGCTCATAAGGAAGCACGGCAACTACTGACTAAGGTAATCAGAGCCAGCAAGACCCGCTCCTGGATAGAGCTGCGCGAGGAAGTAGAAAACGACCCATGGGGGAGACCCTACAAGGTTGTGATGAAAAGGGTGAAGCCACAACCCTTGTCCTCACCCATGTGCCCGGTACTGCTGGAGAAGATCGTGACAAATCTCTTCCCGCAGCAACCGCCTTTAGAGACTGACATCGCTAACCCAGAAGAGCCCACACCACCGATAACCCTGCAGGAGTTGAAATCGGCCAGTGGCAGACTAGGCAACAAGAAGGCTCCCGGACCAGACGGTATACCGAACATCGCCCTAAAAAAGGCGATAAAAATAGCGCCAGACATGTTCCTCCACATGTACAACAGGTGTATCCAAGAGAGCTACTTTCCGGCTCAATGGAAGCTGCAGAGACTTGTCCACCTTCTGAAAGGGAAAAAGCCACCGGACGAACCAACAGCTTATCGTCCTCTCTGCATGCTTGACTCGATGGGAAAGATCCTTGAAACGATCATCTACAGGAGAATCGAGGTGATAACTGAAACACACCTCTCCGACAGGCAATTCGGATTCCGGAAAGGAAGGTCAACTGTCGACGCTATTAAATTAGTAGTTGACACTGCCAGAAATGCAATTTCTGGAGAACGATGGAAGAACGGCGACAAAAACTACTGCGCAGTAGTGACGCTTGACATGAAGAATGCCTTCAATTCTGCAAAGTGGGACAAAATCCTGGAAGCCTTGGAACGGATGAAAGTCCCTCTATATTTGCAGAAACTGATAGTCAGCTACTTCACTGACAGAATTCTGCAGTATGACACGGAGAATGGGCCCAGGGAATACAAGATCAGTGGAGGAGTGCCCCAAGGCTCAGTTCTGGGACCACTGTTATGGATCATTATGTAAATGGCCTCCTCAACCTGAAAATACCAAGAATGGTAACAACTGCGGCATTTGCAGACGATATTGCTCTCGTGATCATAGGCAAGTACATAGAAGACATCCAGAACCTATTCAAGAAGACTCTCAGCATATACACTCCCTGGATGGACGACTCAGGACTGAAGATAGCAAAACACAAGACAGAGGCTGTACTTATAAGCAGTAGGAAAAAACGCGAAACGCTGAAGCTACAAGTAGGTGACTGCGAAATAAAATCGCAACCATCCGTCCGATACCTTGGGGTAATGATAGACGCCCGACTCTGCTTCAAGGATCAGGTCGAACACACTAGCAAAAAGGCATCAGCAGTTGGAGAAGCACTGAGCAGACTCATGCCGAACCTCGGTGGGCCAAAACCCAGACGAAGGGCTCTTCTTTCGTCAGTGGTTATGTCAATACTGACATATGGAATTGTCATATGGGGTAGTGCACTACAGCTTCAAGAGTGCCAGAGACGAATATACCCGGTATGTCGGCAAATGGCACTGAGGGTCGCGAGTGGATTCAGGACCGTCTCCAGAGACGCCGCGCACGTGATATCCGGTCTGCTTCCTATCGAGATCTTGGCCGAGGAACAAAGAAGGATATACCGCCACCGGAACAGTAGAGTAGCAGATATAGATGACTGCAGAAAGAGAGAAAGGCAGAAAAGCCTCCAGTGATGGCAAGCGCAGTGGGATAGCTCGGGCAAGGGCAGGTGGACCCATGAGCTCATCCCAAATCTGGCGGAATGGGTGAATCGCCAACATGGGGATCTCAACTACTACCTGACACAGATGCTCACTGGACACGGATGCTTCCGCAAATACTTGTACAAGTACAAGCACGAAGACTCACCAGAATGTCCAAGATGTCATGGAATAGAGGAGGACGCACGGCACGTGTTCTTCACGTGCCCTAGATTTGGAAACCAACGACGACAGCTTGAGAGCACAATAGACGCGGCGATCATGCCATGCAACCTCGCACAGAAGATGCTTGCATTGCAGGAGGCTTGGAACGCCACAACAGACCTTGCTAAAGAGGTGATAACGCAACTTCGGAAAGAAGAGAAAGAGAGGAGAAATAGTAGAAGTGTAGGGCGCCAGACTGTAGAACAGTTAGCTTCCCTCATTGATGCAGAGGAACGTAGGTTATTGGGTCAAGCCCAGTATCCTCCATCCGATGTAGAGGAACGTAGGCTCTGGAGTCGAGACTATCTATAGGATAACAAGACACCAAAAATGCTCCCCTGCCCTAGCAGGTCAGCGAAGGCAATCGGGTTGAGCTCAGGCTCACTTTCCCGACGCAGAGGAACGTAGGGTATCGAGAGTGAGCCTGTCCAGAGGATGACCGGACGATGCAGCAAGAAGAGGACGACCGGACGATGCCGAAAGAAGAAGACGATCGGATGCAGTAAGAAGATGATAATAGAGGAAGGAACAGCAGACTATCCTGAACCTCCAAGCAACTAACAGCGATTGAAGGACGTAGGGAAGGACAACAAGAAGGAAGAACTAATCAGCTAATGCCTTCCCCGTGAAGTAATGCCTAGCGGCGGTTCCGCGGGGGATTAAAAAAAAAAAAAGGATCAGTCGACAGAGGACTTTGGACTACGGTCCCACCGTCAATCGAAACGGAGGGGCCGTAGAACAAAAAGGGTTTTAGCCTACAGAGCACACGGCGGTGGTGGACGTGGGAGGGGAGATCGGGGAGGTGAACGCTCACGCGGTCATGTCCTAGACCCACCTCATAGCCAACCCGATAAGGTCCATCGGTTCGCATTTAACTTATGGATTTTACCTTCTACCTCTATAAAACACGCATACACATTCACACCACCCACTCCTCTGTCTCCCCCCACACACACACACCACCATGCGATCAGATAGACCACCTACACAAACCATATATGCCCATTTACACTCCCCCCCCCACACACACACATTTATGCTCACACACATAACTCCACACACACACGCACACACAATCGCACAAACGCACATGCGCACACACTTTTACATAATAACCCACATGCACACTTAATTCCTCCCTCTTTTCCGACTCGCAACCCCACTATCCATACACGTACAACCCCCCGCCCCCCAATACACATACACATTTACACATATGCAAATAACTCTCAACACACATATATTTACACAATACACTACACGCAGACACACATATTTTTCAATTTTTAAAATTTCCCGCTCTATCCGAATCTGGAATAAAAAATATGGGTTTCCATTTAAAAAAACAAAGTTGACCTTCAAACAACCTTGAAACTCAAGCTCAAGATCAAGTTGGAGGTCACCATCGCCTGTCCCCCTCCAAACCCTAAAACTTTTATCCGAACTATTTTTCGCTATCATGCTTCCGGAAAGAAATAATTGGCCACTTCGATGAAAATGTTCACCCTCTATATTCCTATATTTATATATATATTCGAATAAAGGATATTAACTATCTTATTTGATATCTTGTAAAAATTGTCCTAATATATATATATATATCGATAGGAAAATTTTTTTATATAAAAATATTCAGTAAAATCTTTCTTTTTCTTTGTCACATTTCTAAAAACATTAAATCTGTCCTCTTTAGATCACTATTTGCAAAACATCTTATTTAAATCAAAAAAGCTAATTTACCACAAGCTTTAGAAGATCAGTGTAAAAGAAGGTAGATTTGGAAGGGCCATTTTCGAAAAAGTTGTTTTTTCATGTTCAAAAGAATTTTATAGGAATGTTATAGGAAAAAAATTTTTGGATTTCTTTGAATGTTATAGGAAAAAAAATATTGTTTCGGAAAAACTGGTTTTAAAAGCTGAGAAAGCCCTCCTAACCCATAAAAAAATGATAATTGCTATAAAGTCCTTCGATGAAAAATTTGTTATATTGATGTAATTTATTAGAGTGATGTTTACAAGATATTAAATACTATAGTAATTTTTTCCGGTTATACTATGATTCGTCCGTTAGAAACTAAATATTTGCTAAACAATTTCATCTGTCTAAAAATTATTCTAGTAAAATATTTGTATGATAAAGTGAAAAATTTTAATTTTTAATACTAAATATTAATTCCTCATTATTCTCGTATATGTTGAATTGAATATTGAATTTTGTTATGCTTACGAAAACAGCAATGGCAAATGAAGTAAGAATGATAGAGGGAGCGAAAGAACTCTAAAAAAAATTTGAGAAAAATAAACTAGAGAAAGAAGCCCGTAATACCATCACTGGGACTAATTTTGAAACAGTCGATGAATCAATCAACCATTTGACTGATATTTGTTGGCCTCCACATACAATAAATTAATTGCTAGGAGAAGTAAGCAATGAATTTCAAAGAGACGATGAAAAGGTCCTATCGCATTCAAATAGAATTTACCTATTGGGTGTTAAGATTCTTAAAGCAAAAAAGAAACTAGATAACGTTGAAGCTGTCTCTAATTAAGAAAAACAAAATATTCGATCCAACGTCCACGATTGTTTTGTGGACTACGACCAGAAATTCGATTATATTTGCATGCAAATACTACATCAAATAATATAATTAAGGAAGCAATCAAGATAGAAAAAGAACTGGAAATTTAAGATAATTTGAGGGGAATAAAATGTAAACAAATATCAAACGCAAATAAGATTAACTTAATGATATGTCAATTAGATAAGTCAATGTGTAATAGTTGAATACAATTATAGGCTTAGGTACCCCATCAACGCACTAATTGGCTTAATCCGATATGTCAGATGAACTCATAATGTTGCCATTTGAAGCGAGTGAAGAGTTCAATAGTCTCTCGTCTCTCGTGCTTGACGCTGTTTGGCGAAAAATATTCATTCACGGAGAACTGAGAAGACCAGTTCCCCATTAGAGGTGACTCACGACATTTCTTCGCAGAGGACGATAAAACGACCTCGCTTCGCCAAGGCCGGCCCTACAACGTATCTACGCCGAAGACTGGTCCATAGATTCTCCCCTTGGCGAACAGAGCTAGAATCTCGCCGATTCCCACTCTGTCTCCAGGTCGCTCTCCGTGACCAGCAGAGAATAAGACTCATCAAGGCTTGCCTCGATGCGTCGTTCGTGTCGTGTAGAGTCGGCGTGCGAGAGCGATAGAGCCATCATTTGATGTCTGCGGTTTCAGTAAGCATCGAATCGCCTCGAGAGACCATCCGTCATCCATGTAAGTATTCGATTTGACAAGTAACCGAGAGTAGATGGGAAAAAAGCGTGCGAATGAAATCGAAGTGATGAATGCAAGTAATAAATCTCGATTGTAAATGTAAATTGAGACTCAGCCGAATTAGTACATCTACTCATGTGTGTCATTCTCACTTCAGTGATCCTTGAGAAATATCCTGTTACGGGCTCTCATTTCCGCAATTTAACAAATGATAATGAGGCACTCACTTATCGTGCATTTGTGACAGTTCAAAAACAACGCACATTTTGCAAGAAAAAGGACCATGAAGAAAAGGAGTCTTTTGCTAAAATGAAGCTCAATACGTTTGTCGGTTATGCGACAGAAAAGGAGACTCTGCTTGAGAGTGCTGTGGACATTTAAAATGTCAAATAAGTCCTAAAACCGGACATATTACAAAAGACTGTCGTTCAAAAGTTCATGTGAATACCGTGAGCAACGTAGAATGTCAATTATGTGGATGATCTGGAGATACTGCTAAAGATTACAGTAATTCATTAACAATGAATAACTTCAACAATAATAGTTCTCAATTTATGGATAAATCTAAATTAAAATATCACTTTTATAAATGCAAAGGCATTTTATTGCTGATTGTTTCAAAAAGCGAGCTGCATTATTAAACCAAAACTCGAGTTCGGGAAACAAGCGTCAGTCCTCGCAACTAAACGCGTTGACGAGGACAATTACATCACTATTGCACTAAACGGAAGAGAATGAAGTATCTGTTTGCCTGATTGCATAAATCAAGAAAGAACTTATGCCAGTGTTATGTCTCGTGCATAGACTTCAAATAGCAAATGAACGGGACATTTTAATATGTTTGTTAGTGGCTAATTAGAGCTCTTGAAGAAGTATGTGTGTGTGTGTGTGTGTGTGTATGTGTGTGTGTGTGTAAGAGTGTGTGTGTTAGGAAAATGAATATTTAGATAATGTAATTACAATACCTTTAGTTTGATAGCAGACTCTAACTGCTCATGGAGAATCGTATACGGATAGATCGATGAATAAATAGTCGTTAATACATAATCGAGTTTATTGTAAGTGACGTAAAATCAATTTGTAAAAATATGAAATGTAATGATTGACAATGAAAGTTTAAATGTACGTAAGTCACCAAATTGTCAAACAGGCGTGTACAAAATATAAGTAAATTGCCAAATTTTTGGACCGGCGTGTACGAAGTTACAATAAAAGACTGCTCTGTTACAATACAATACTGCTCTTATACAGGATCTACTCTGATTATTTCGTAGTATCTTTCGAGGTCACTATCACAATTTCGTTGATATTTGTTTGCGTGGAATTTTTTTAGTTTGCTGAATCTATATTCAGCAAACTAAAAAAATCTCTATAGTTGCGGTGCGTTTGATGACTTTTTCCGGAGTGTCATGCTCGCTAGTTTCTTGCTGACGTACAGATAAATCTATTATTTCGAAATCCAGAAATGTATGATTAGTGTTAGGAAAT